GTTTCATCAATTTTTGGTGATGTCGTTCCACTTTTGTATATTTTGATTTTTACAGTATGAATAACTAATTTTTACGTTAGGAAAGACAATGTAGTCGACTTGTGATCCTTTATTTTTCTATTCAAGATTTCCGTGATTTATTTATTTATGTGTTGATTTTATTATGAGTTTAATACATTAAATTACTAGATCAACAATTTGATGATTATGTAAGTCTCTTACAAATTGAGAGGTGAGTTTGAGATTTAGACCATATAATAAAATTCGATAAATTAGTATAATGTATAGAGATATATATACTAATTATTGCAGTCACAATATGAATTCTTAGAATTAGTGTTTTTTTTAATTAAGGTTGATTCACATAGAGATATGAAATTTAATTAGTTAAATAGACTCAATGAGAACTCGAGATTGATAAATTGAATACAATAGAAGAATTCGATCGAACATTACATTAAATTATGAATCTTGAATTAAGAATTAAGGTGATCAATAGATGAAATTGTCCACTATACTACTTATTACGATATTGTACACTTGTTATATAAAGATCGCATCACCCCCACTTGGCTTGCTAGCTCTTGTATAGGATCACTACCAGATGGAACATTTCCAGAATCTGTATTCACTGGCCAAGTCATTGGGAGTACCAAGTCCCTACAGCAGATGAAAATGTGTTAAGTGGCTAATTAATAGAAATTCACACTCTCTCGTTTCTTTTTTCCAACAAAATGACATGCAATAGAAAAAGAGAACCGAAAAAAATTCCGAACGACCTATAAATTTTTAAAACGACCTCGTGTCATCTAGAGCAGGTCATGTTAGTTTTGTTCTTCCATTCTCTCTTCATACACCAACCCAAATAAATGTAATAAACCAACTCAAAATAAATGTAAAAAGCAGAATTAGAAGTCACATACCGTTCAACACGCTTGCACAAGCATTGGCTTATATGATCAACTGTATACTTCCCTAATACTGAATCAAGTTTCTTGGCCAATTTTGATATCTCAAAACTTGGCAAAATGTCCAAAACTTTGATAACTTGAACGTCGCTTGAATTTTCCCGGTGAATGTCAATGGTCCAAATCAATTTCAATGGCCCTTTGACATCATATAGTTCCAACAGTTGTGAAGCAGCACTATCCATGTTACTGAGAATTTCAGGTTTGTGCAGCTGACGCCATCCATCTGAAAGCTTCTCCAAAAGAGAAAGGACCTCTTTACAAATGTCAATGTCTTGAATCTTAGACATGGATTTCAAGAATTCATCACTAAAGCAAACCTATCATAGAAAGAACGGGGGTATCGTTAGTTAAATCTTGTTTACTATATCATCCATCCAATTTTATCAAGTTTTGTATACCAAACTTACACAATAGATGTAATAAATACTAATAGAAAGCAACTCCTGCGTGCTATTTACCAATGAGAAATTTATTTCATTGAAAGAATTAGTTCGATTCATTGTAGTATGTTACTGAAAGTAAATTAAATTCATTGTCCCTTTGACGTACCGAGACCCTTTTTGAGAATTAGAAACTCTAATTCTATTCGACCTAGATAAAACAATTTTAAAAAAGAAAAATAAACACTTAAGAACATGCAAGATTTATAGAGGTTCGTTTCAATGTAACTGCATCCTCTCCAACCACTGCAGTAATTTACTGTAATGCCAAAAAAAAAAAAAATTATAAGAGAAAATCGTACACCTATTTTCTCTAATCTTTCTCTCTCTTTTAGATAATAATAATAATAATAAAGCCTAAGGCGGTTCCCTATTTATACAATAAATTAGGGCAAAACCAAATTTTACAAGGACTCAATTCCTTAAATTAGGATAGGCAATAATTAAGTTCCACAATTTAACATCCCTATCAGTGGCTTAAAAGATTTGAACATCATATTACCATAAATCAACGAATTGCAATGTCTGTTGAGATAAATTGAAATGTACCTTCCACTTTGCCTTTTGGAACAGAGAGGAGTTAATGTCAAACAACAAATTAACCTGACCAAGCTCAACCAAGGCACAAACAATTGCTTGTTTCAAATTG